AAAATTCAGAAGGCTCTTGACAGTCTTGAATTGGGCCCTGTCCAGTAAAATGTGGAAAAACCAAATGGACAGGTACAGGATAGGAATGTCTGGTTTAACAGTAGTGCCTGCGCAAGAGTTCTGTTGAATCACCACATAAACAGGGGTGAAATTCAGCGTGTTATGACAGGTTCTGGAGAACAGGTAGTGTAAATTTTGAGTAGTTCGGAGAACTGCAAATGCCATCTCTGGCTGGACCTAGAGTGGAGTGGGAATGGAGATTTTGGAATATCCTTCCCCCTGGAATGGGGTAGGAATGGAGATTTTGCATTATCCTTCCCCTGCCATGCCCACCAAGCCACGCCCACAGAATCATATACAAATGATGCAAGATACATGTATATCATGAACAAATCTTTACATTATATTATATATTAATTTATGTGAATGTAATTAGTATTTCAGTGTAGCCTAAGGTGACCATATGTCCCGCATTTGGCGGGACAGGCATGCTTTTTCATAATTTTTCCTGCGTCCTGGGCTGTTCTCAAAAGATCCCGCTTTTTAATTTTGGCACCTTCTTCGATCGCTCCCTCCCCCACCCATCCACTGCCGCTCACATGGGCGGGGTAGTGTAGCGAGTGAGCGGGCGGATGGGTGGGGGAGCGAGCTCGCCTTTCCAGCCCCACTTCCACCCGGACAAGCCGTGAGAAAGCCTTCGCCTCTCCAAAAAGAGCCACCTGTGTGTATGGCCCTCGGCGGGGTCTGGAAGCGGCACCTTTCCGCCAAAGCATCCCTCGCGCACTTCGGGGCCAACGGGCGAGGCGAGCGCAGCGGCCAGAGACTCCTCCGCGGGACCCCTTCTGGCTCCGTCCGCTTCCCAGCCTGTCCCGGCTTTCCTGACTCCCGGGGCCACCGCTTCTCTGAACTCACCCAGAGTAAGTGACGAGCATGGGCGGGGTAGCATGGGATCGCTGCCCAGGAGCCGCCAGAAGCCTTCCTGCCCAACACCTACTCTCCCCGGACTTGTTTTGATGAGCGCGGGGCGACTGACGGTAGTTTGCGCCAGCCACGCCCGCTCAAACTATCGTCAGTTGCCCCGTGTTATAATCTGGCCACCTTAAGTAAAACATGCAATGGCCCTACCTGGGGGAAGGCAGGTAGTACTCTGGGCTGCTAGCAGCTTTACTAGAGACGTCTGGCTGGGGAGAAACGCCGGCGCAACTGCAAGAAATCCGGAGAGAAGCAAAAGGTTTAATGTTGAGTTTCTTCCCAGCCTGCATTGAATCCACCACCTAACTGCGCTCAGCCCCTCCAAGGAGGCAGGCGGGTTGGAAACCCTTGGTCCCTCCAAGGAGGCGGGCGGGTTGGAAACTCCTTGGTCCCTCCAAGGAGGCGGGC